ACCTGTGAGGGGCCGGGGCATTTTGAGAAAGCATAGAAGAAAGATGTTCAAAGCTACCCCCCACTTCATCCTAGATTTTTAGAAAATTATGACCCCCCATTCATTTGACATATTGTGAAAGTGACCCCAAGTTGTACCTACAAGTTGTGGTAAAGTGCAACCCATAGTTTATCTACAGTGATGTTTAAACGATTGGTGTTAACTATCGGATGGTGGATTTGCTGCAAGTAGAATGTGAGGGCATCGAAGGTGCAAGGGACAAGCGATGCAAAAAGGCTTTGAGAAAAGTCTATGGATCAGTACCACAGTCGTCATGGCCACAACAAAAATGAACAGCTTTGCATAAAAGTTCTTAAAATATCTCGGCGAGCATGCATTTGAGACTTTTTTAGATTATTAGAGGTAAAATGAGGGTTATTTTCTGTTTAGACTGGGGCAGATAGTATTAGAAAAAAATATAAACCCGACAAAAATCTTGAGGTTTGAGTTTATTTGTTATAAATACCAATACAGTCTTTTTCGTTTGTGAACAGCATTTCAATTTAATTTCAAGTGAAATGCAGCTCGCATCAAAATATGCTGAAAATGACTGACTGTTTACTCAATAAATTTGCCTTGCATTTGACTTCCACATTAGGAAGAAAATTGTTGCATTTATAACCTCAGTAAATGAGTGGGAAATTTCATCAACGCTTGAGAGCAAGTTATGAAATACATTCAGAAAATTTGAGTTCTAGAATTTCTAGGATACATCAGATACAGTGACGAGAACAAACAAAGAGGGAAAAGCAAGAGAAAAAGAAGTGCTCATTATGAAAAAAATAGAAGAGAAAGTTATTCAAAATGTTCTAGAAGTGCGAAAGAGAAGTCAAGAAGCCAAGAGGTCAGGTGGAAAATTCGATAGCTTTTCTTCAAGGAAGATTCTTACTTAGTGAAAACATAAATAATTGGACTTACACAGTTGACAAAAAGGTGCCAGCAGTCTTTCCAGGAACTTCTAAGGGAAAGGAATGGCCAATATTTCAAATTTGTTTGGATGAACATGAACAAATGTTGACATCTCTTCGACTTTCTAGCATTAAACATGTTAAATAATTTTAAACTGGCTTTGTGGTTTGAGATATAACATATTTCGTGTGAAGAGGCGAGGTTGCAATGCATCATGGGTAAAAGAAAAATATGAGAAAATGGTCATAGAAATTTGTTGAGAATGCATTTTTATAATGTTAGTATTTTTTGTTGCTTTTTTGAGTTAGTTGAAACAACTACCATGAGAGTTAAAAAAAACTAATTTTTGAGCAATTGTTGTCGTCGTTTCGCTGTTCTTCAAGATTCATTATTCAATTCTCAGTGTCTCAGTATTCTAACAGTTCAAGTTAATTAGCATTCATGCGTCAAAATCGGCTCGCCTCTTTCACTTCTACATTTCGAGGGTTAGTAATGTGGTCATTTACAGAATGATTCGCTGAAAAAAGGAAAACCCCAAATATCCTGATAAGATATATGCTCAAAGGATGAAAAAACTCTGTGTAAAAAACTACTTACACTAGCATGAATCTCCGGGTCTTCGTTTCTAAATCTGAATTCTTCTGTTCATGTCCACTGCTAGCTCAAAGTGAATTTTGAAATAATTTATAGCGCTAGAATGCAAAATACCCTTAGGGAATTTAGGGGAGTCGCATTGCTATCGGCAACACGGATTTAATTTATAACAGCAATGTTACACCAAGGTTGTACATCATAACTGTGCTACTGATTATATTGCTGGCTGTTACATTCAGTTTTTATTCACACTTGTTATTGCTTTGTACTACAGCGTACTTCCATGATTTTTTTTTAACGACCAGCCCCTTACAATTAGCTTGCCGGGGGCCACTTGGCTTCTTGCCAGTCTTAGTTAATGATTTTGTTGTCCTTGCCTGGACCCTTGCCCATTGGACATCCAAAGCTTTAACCCTTAAACTCTAATATCAAAATTGAGATTCTCATTTACTGTCCATATACTTTTTGAATAGAAATAGTGGGGAGAATTTGCTGAAATATCAATTGGACTCATCTTCCCTGATCATGTACTCAATTCTCATGGCCACTATGTTTTCTAAAGCATTGATATTATAAGGAGAAATCTTATGCTGATCACTCTGAGGGCTTAACGGGTTAAGAGGTACTTACCCAGCAAGAAAGTCGCGGGCTACCACTCAGACAGGAGTTTTTTTCAAGCCCTATATATTTTTCAAAAGCCTTTTTAGAGAGGCTAAAATTAATTATGATAGGAGGGTAATTTTGGTTTCGAAATGGGCTAGACTTAATTATCACTGGCTGGAAAGTTTGTTTTAGCAAAGTTATTTTTCATTGTGCAAATGATAATTGTCAGTGGGGCATTAACTTGCGATCACTGACAATGCAACTTATCAACTTGATTGAAGGCAGAAGATGTCAAAACCATACTAACATTAATGTCTGCAACACCAAAAAATCTCTTAAAGCTTACATTTGAGTCTGAAGTTCATGATGTAATCGATTCTGTAGTTCTTACAATATCACGAGGCTATGTTCTAAGATAAACTGTAGGCCTGGCCCTGAATGCTCCAAATCTCTGCTATCTCAGGCACCCAGCATATGATTTGAATGCAAAAACTGAAATTTCCAAGTTACCCAACAGTGAATTTAAGGCACCAGGGGCCTGGGCACTAATTAAATATTCTAATAGCCCATTTTACAGTTACAGGTTAAAACGTTGACCTTGTTTTGATCTACAACCCTTCCTGCTTTATCATGTTAAACATGTTGTTCTTATGTGAACTAGTATTTTTGAAGTATAATTTCCATAAGAAAAGGAGAGATGTTTGTATCAAAACAAGGTTGACTTTAGCCTCATGTTCACTTAAAGGCTATAGGATACTAAGCCCACAACTGTAAAATGGTCTATTTGGGAAAACTCTCATTCAGGATTGACTGTTAGTTCTGTCGATATTGAGAATTTTCAATGGTTGGATATGGTCCAAGGGGCCAAAATGTAAGGCCTGAGCTATGCCAAGAATGCCCCCCTTTAGAGGTTTACAGTTGAGGCAGGTCAAGCATACCCCCAAGATTCTATTAATGAATTGGTTATTTGAAGAATGAACCCATTTGTCGTTCCTGTAACTAGTGTCAAATTCTAATATCTGCATTCCTGTATGCGTGATGAGCAGTGAATGTTTCACGAGAACTTCTCTGTATTTGGTCAGATTGAAAATCTTTGAAATGGCTCATGACATTGCTTTGAAGACACTTTCATCAAATTCAAGGAAACTGAGCTGGTAGAAATTTTATGATTGCCTCACGTGTGAATTCCTGCTCATTACGCATACAATGCAGAGATGAATCTGAAATCTACAACTACCAACGGGTTCCACTTTTTTTGTATAATGACCTGCTTGACTGTAACTCTAATTTCTAACGAGCATCCCCACCTCTTTCATATGGGAGACGCCCCACCTTCATATCCCCAGCACTCTATTCCTCTGGTCAAGGGGCTTTATAGTTTATCGCTTTACAAAACACCCATACCAAGACCCATTGACCAAATCATACATATACGAATAAGAAACTCAAAAGGCTTTACTCAGTAATATTTACACTAACTGCCACCACAAAGCTATAGTCCTAAACTATCTACTGTAGATATGCAGTGAGAAATTAAACTACCTTTTGCTATAACAAGAGAGAGTCATCCAGATTCAATGTATAAGTATGCCATAAAATCCCCAAAATAAGCCCTGACCTCTATTTAATCCCCTCTGAAATTGTAATCCCTCCAAATCTGAATAATAAAATTAGCCTCCTATAATGTACATTAAAAAGCCCCTTCACAATGCAGGTTTTTTTAGAAGTTTGTATATAGGAATTCAGTGCACTCAAATACAAGTACATTGTAGGATGTAGCAAAAACTATTTTAATATAATGCTACTAAAACCGAGAGCGTGTTTGTTTGTCTGGTCTATAATCTTGATATTATATTGTATATTGATTTCAAATTGCCCAATCTTATAAATATTCTAAGAATTAAACCTTAAGATTGCTACAGCAATTATCATCAGTTGTGGCTCCAAATGCACAGTTTCATGTTATTAACTTGAGTGATATGACTTCTACTGTCCAAACCATTACAAACAAATAAAACCGTTGGAAAAGGGGGTCAGAGTGCTTTTTTCATTGCAGAAAGACGACAAAGGGATAATTTCGGCTGTAATAATCATTTAATAGGAAGTGACTGGGGCGAGTTTCAAGACCAATACCTTTTGCCTTTCATCACCAGAAAACAAATTTTCATTAGCGTCGATAAAATTAATTTGTACTCATAACAGGAAAATATACTGACATTGTAATTTTCGTGTGGTCAAAAAAGTTTTTACTTAGAGAGGGACATTCAATAATGCCAATACATTCTCGACTAAATGGAAATGACCATCATTCGAGAGATTATAGAAACACTTGCAGCATCTAAATGTTCGTGAACGTTAATACATTGTCATTATCATAAACGAACTGTCACCTAATGAAAATGAAACTTCATTCTCACTAAGGAATGTTCTTTTTGATAAAACATAACAAAAATTGGCCTTCATGATTACTTTTCTTGATGCAAAAATCATTAATAACTAGGCCAAAGTCAAATTGTTTGTTTTCTTAGCTAAACCTTTTATACATTAAATTTTTTGACTGATGTTTCACGTTAATAAACTTTTATATCCTGGAAATGAAGGGAAACATCTGTATCAGTTTCAGGACAAAAAAGTGGCCTGTCCTGCCTTTAGGGTGTTAGTGATAATTACTGTAACCTTTGATGTTGCATTGGATATTACAGTTCTTGCTGGACAGTAAAAAGCAGGGGAATTGTGATGACCCTTAATTCTTGATTTCAAATGGTTTTCGTCTTTGTGAGAACATGGCTAAGGGAGCATCTTTAGGTAAAATCATTGATGAGAATAGTATTTCAGGATTTATTTGTAACTTTTCAAGGTATCTTGTTGACTGTTCGTGGTTTAAACAGTGGAAAGAATTTGTTGGATATGATATACAGGGTCAGTGGGGAGCTGCAGATAAGAGAAACAATCCTGGCCCTATAAACAATTCACCCCTTCTTAAAGGTGAGAGCAGCAAGTTAATCAATTTTTTTCACTTGACTGCAAAACTGATCCACAGTTACTTATATTTACAGAAAACACAACATATTTATCCAAGGCATGATTATCAGTCATTCACAGGGCTGGAAGGATGTTACCTATTTAATTAATTTAAGGAGTGGGAGAGGCGCAGTATGCAAATTATTGTGCATGCAGTCAAATATGGACAATGTGAGGGGTTGCAGTGGGAAAGCAGTTCAGCAACTGTAGCCTCTTGAGTGCTTGGCAAACATTGTACATGAATCCATAACTTGATGTTTGCAAATGCAGCTGCATTAACCATTTCTTTTACGACAGAATCAAAAAAGAAAAGCATTTAAATTTGCCTCTTATAGGGACCGACAAGTGTGTCATCCATGCACCATTTATTCTTTGCAAAGACGTCTTGCTAAAAAAGGTTTGCTGAATGAGTAGTTTTTATTGTCAGTATGGATTGTAAAACCTTTTTTGTTATCTGAATCAGTGACTTTTGTTGGGTAAAAATAATTGATGCGTGTTGCATCGAGCATGCGTTATAAGGTTTCCTACGAAACAATAGTAAATGGGAAATTGCCCAATCAGAACAAACCTTTTGATTTTGTGTGTTAGAAAGTGGAGTATTCATCAGGTTGTATTCAACCAGTATTTCAGAGCCATTGAGAAACCCTGGATAGGACAGATCAGATCGACAACTGTAACCCTATCCCTAACCTTTTGTCGTTTTAATAGTGTGTTGCAGGGGTCGATCAAGTCTGGTCTTATCCAGGTTTTAGTGTCTCCTGATTGTCAGAGTCGTTTATATAATGTAGTCGTGGCACATTTTCCTGTTATTATAATTTCATTTAATAGCTGATGGCAGTACCCTGAAGGAACATCTGATTGATGAGCTTGATTATTTCTTACTACCTGAGGGAGCTTGGTTAAAGCTAGTATCCTGGTATGGTGTGACATCAGATCAACATGCTTTGCCAAGGAAGGTTGTTGAACATGGGATGTATATAAAAAACAATAAGGTGGAGGTGTACCTCATGGAGTTCAATCTATCTCAGCTCTCTGATCCAAACACCTTCTTCGAAATGAAGTTCAGCAGAGGAGATACTCTTGGTGGGTTTTATTTTCCTTAAGTGTCTTAATGTTTTATAGACTTTTATTTTTGTTCAGTTGGCGGAGCACGAAGAAAGGATTTGACCCCCATGCTCAGGAATGTCCCAAAATTACCTTGCGAAATTTGCTATTTCTTCTATACTTTTCTGATAGCAGTTTTCTTTACATCTTTTTTACTAAAATTGCGAAAAGAACTTCGATTTGTTTCGGCTACAATAAATATTTTAATTTATTCGAGGAATAACTAATTATTTGTTTTGGCTTACTCGGGCTTTGAACTAGCCTCCTACACAGGAGTAGCTCGTATTTCCTCCCTCCCCACAAACGCCTGCTCATGTTTTTTAGTAGGCGTTTGTGGGGAGGGACGAAAAACGTGCTCCCCTAAAACGCCTGTGTGGCAGGCTAGGTTTAAACCGACTCACCCGCGACATGTCAGATAAGACGCTAAATTTACCGAATAGCCGATTGCGCCACCTCGACCTAACGTGGCTTGTCATCTGAAAGTTAGCTATAATATCGTGCACCAGTGGACCGGGGTTTCGAGGGGGGAATGGCAGAAAAGGGACAAAAATATTTGCTTGGTGCAATTGAAAATTATTGAAACAATAAAACGCTTTAAGAGGAGCAGGTGGTGAAAATTACTTGGTTGCCGCTATCTTGACTTCTGGTTTGGCCACAACGGCTGTAAGCGTTGGTCCGCTTGCTTTGTTCCAAAAAAGCCAATCCCGGATATCAATGTCATAAAGGCCACTCAGGATGACATCATGGACGACGTGATCAGTATAGTAGACCGGGGCACCACAAGTGCACATGATGGTATAGGAACAGGTTTCTCCTTTCCCCGTAATTTGGCTATGAAAGTGCGGAAAGGCTCGTCTCGCTCTTGCCTTAGCGGGAGAAGCTCTGTGCGTAGCACGCAAGTGGCAACTAGAGTAAGTGTACGCTCCGATGGCGTCTTGTTGTAATTGAGCTATTTTGAAAAAATAGCTCATATGTCAGTGGTGTGAGCGTATGTATCTTTGTGGCTTTGTATCTTTGTAACTTTGTATGTTCGGATGTTTGTTGCAAGAGCCAATAAGGTTGAAGGTACTATGAGTTGATGCTAAGGAACCAATGAGATCTTGGCATCTACTTAAAAATCACATTGCTAAAGGTCGAACAAGGGCACTTTAAGACCGCCATCTTGATTCTTTACAATTTGTTCGTCTTTTATTACGGCTACAGGTGTTTGGAAATATTATATTAAATATCTTCATGATTCAAACGCTGTGTACAGTGATGCAGCTGTTTAAGGGTTCATATTTTAGTGTGGATGCTACTTCAAGACATTTCTGACCGAATTCGGCTATCGCGAACGGTACCACGCACGTATTTATGAGTTGTGTTTCACTTGCTTCAAGGTAGAGTATAAACGATCATATATTTTCAAAGCTCTTCCAGTGAAGCAATAATTTATATTTAGATATGGACTTTAATTTGAAAGTATGCGGCCTATAAAATGTGGTTTTAGAAGTTTGAAAAGCAGCTTATTTTTTTAAAAGCTGTACCGAGTATTGTTAATCCTGTAAACAAGCTGTAGAAATATTATTCTCTCGCTTACAAAGTTCAACAGACCTTTTTCGTTCCGGCAAAACAACAACAAAAAGGAATAATAAGTGAACAACATGATACATCCTTCCTGCATACTAAGCATTATAGTTATTGAAACGTATTTTATTTAGTAAAGATGCGTATAAACTTAAGTAGAAACAGTAGCGTTAGGGAATAAAATTGGAAGAAGCTAGTTGACACAATAATTAGGTACTGCTTTATTAAGTGGAGTAACATGATGTGAGCAGAAATATATTTCGGCAGTTTGATAATTTTCTTGGAAGTTAATAATTGTTAGGCTATCAACCTTGACGTTGCATGAAACATAATTTAATTGCAGCTGTTGTAATGAAGCCGAGGTGATTTCTTAAAATCGTTTGAGAAAATTTTGTAGTAAACAATTTCCGTTTTTTTAAAGTACGAATTGTAAAAAGGTCAAAGACCAACATCTTCACGTGCAAATTGTGTGCATGAGTTATTTTTATAATTCTGTTTACTAGATTACTGTGTGATAACTCGAATTCCCTCACGTACGAACCACGAAAGGGGGCAAAGTCCAACACTTTCACGTGCCAGTTGTGTGATTGTACATCTCATGCAGATTGGCTTTTCACAATAGTAATAGTGACTTGAACGTATGAAGACCTGTTTTGTTTTGTAACCAATGCCTTAAAAAAGGCTCTTGTCTGTTAAGAAGCAATAGCTTTTAAAACGTGAAGAAATAAGTTGTCAGAGTTAAACACTGTTTCACTGAGTAGAATCGCACGTGAAAACCTCGTGAATTGTGATGATGCAACCATATACCACAATGATAAAAATCCTGGTATTTCGTAACTACTCGAATTCGATGAGTTACATTTTGGCTTAAGAAACTCCGACAAAACCTTAGAGTTTTCCCTCTAATCAACGTTTGGTGAGTAGACATGTATTTTTACTTTAACAATTTGTTTAAATTACACCAAATGTAACAGGGAAAGACAGAGGAAAGTAGCATGAGGATCGACGCAGCTGAGCGTTTCGCGTTTTCATTTATTTACGGCAATGCTCAATTTCGCACAAAAAAGCCAGTCTACCATTTAGGACGATAAAACGTAGATTCATCGCTCTTGGTAAGGTTACACTGAAGCATTAAAGTTACACTGAAGCATTCAAAATAGCTCATGCACGTTTAACGTGCCTATGTTTATATAAAAGTTAGTGGTATACCGAGTGGTGTTGGAGTGGTAGCAAATCAATAAATGCGCTATCCTACCAGTGATGATATCATTCCTATCCACACATGTGTGATATCATTTTTGACCAATCAGCTCATGGTATTTTCGGGCTCTGTCAAGCATTTGTGGTGGGTTTTCCTTCGTTTTGTCTTTTCGGAGTTTTTGCGTCGGTCTTTTCACGAGACGAAGTTAAGTTTAAAGTGTATTAAAAAATGGAGATAAGTAGGTTTGTCGAGATCACAGGTGAGGAACTGATCGAATTCATAAACTAGAACAAGAAAATCCGAATACAAAGAGGAAAACTGCGTACGACGTTGAGGTATTCAAGAATTTCATTCAGACATCAAACCCTGGCTTGCTTGGTTCAATATCCTTCGAAATTCATCTTTGGCGTTAGCAAAAAAGATGGCTCCGACTATGAACCCACAAGTTTGAAAGGATATTTTTTCAAGCTCCTAGAGATATCTGAACAAACAGAACTACGGGTTCACAATTTTTACTGACGCTGTGTTAAAAACTACGGCTACTCTTAAAGTAAAACAAAACGATATAAAGCCAAGATATTGGGAAACAAGCCTCGGACATCGGATAGGCTAACAGACGAGGAAATTGAAAAATTGTTTGCTTTCAAATGCCTAGGATATGAAAGCCCTCAAGCCATTATAAACACTTTTTGCCTTCGCGGCGGCAAAGAACAGAGAGAGTTACACTTAAGGTAATTCCCTTGAAATTGTTCTACTATCAAACTTTTTTTGAAACTTGACATAGTCAACATTCATGATATGGACATTTAAAAAATGCTTGTTTGCGTGTCAGCAGGCTCTTAAATTGGGGTATTTTTACTGGTTGCGCGTTAAACATTCGAATCTCCTTCATACAGATAAACACACAAAATTTTAATTTAATTTTCATTTAAGCCGCTTTTGAGTGCCTGGTTGGGGGGGACATTGCACTTTTTCTCGATGTTTCGGACAGTTCCGTGGTTAGCTTGAAGTCCTCGCCTTGGCCCAAGTACATCAAGTACGGAACTATTTTCTCAAAAAAATCATGTTCTACCATCAAACTTTTTTTCTTCTTCAAATATGTTCCTTATTAGACTGTTCTTAGCAAGTACCTAAAAAAATCGGGGTTCACCGTGCTCGTATCCTCACAAATTGTCGTGAAAGGCGGACATGGTTTTGACATCGTGGCCGAGATGGATTATTTGTTCGGCCGGGAATGGGACGAGATATAAAAATCGTGTTCGAAGTATGCTCTCGCGATTAAGCTTGTTTTCGGTTGTTTTATGTGTTTGATATCGCCAACACAGAAATTCATACTTGGAAAGAGTACAAAAAATACCAAGGAATGTTGTAAGTCAAGATTTGATGAGATTTTGGAGTTACGAATCTTTATTTTGGACTATTTTGTAGCACTGGTGTTCTATGTTCCAGTGAGCTAGGGCCTGATTTTGCTTTTGCAGAATAATGCTTGACAAAGAAACTTGAAGAAAAGACTATAGATTCCTATTCTTCAAATGTTTTCTTGTTTGGTTTCTATACACAGCAAAATGTGAATTCAAAAGCAAATTTTGTGTGTACATCAAAGATTGGTCTCCCTCGCATGGTTCCGGTGCAACGATCTTATTTGTTAGACAAATATTCGTCTCTACACACTCGGAGTTTGAACAACATGTGTAAAGTAGCGACCCTAAGCCGGACACTTTCTCTTAATGCAGTTGGAGAGGGCTTAGCAGTCCCCATCCAAAGCCTCAGCCAGGACAATGAATTCCACAACTTGACGATCGCGAAGTGAAAAAAACACTGCAGACTTGGGGATCACGCACATTTTTTCTTTTTCTTGTTTTTCGACATGAAACCAGGGGTGCTTACCATTTGACAGAAAAGTCCGGTTGGGGTGGCGAAAGCATAATGGTAAGCAATTTGCCAGTTTACCGTAGAAATGCCACATCCGTTACGGTTTGAATCCAAAAAAGGGCGAATTTGTGTCGCGTGAGTCTGGAACCGAGAAGGAACCGAGAAATTGGTTAATGGTAAGCAACATTCCGTTTGGTTCGTACCAACCGGAATGAAAGGACTACCTCAAAACGTACTCCTCAATTTTCGGTTGGAATTTCCGAAAAGTGACCTTACCATTTACCTTCCGTCCGGAATTTCCGAAATTTTCCGTCAAATGGTAAGCACCCCAGGAAGCTATCAGCCGATAGGCGGCATTATCATTGCGAGTAAAAGCTTAAGCTCTGCAAAAGCGGCTTTTGTTTGTTCTTTTCGTGGTAGCGGGAAGAATCGCCGCCATCTTGGATGTCGCAGTATTATGCGCAGCAGAGGGTCCGCAGTGCAAAACAAGGAAATTATCGTAAATAGAATGGTATGTTGTGGCCAATTTTCTAACGATATTTATGCCGTAATAAGTTTATACCAAGAGTCTACTTGTTTGTACATTTTCTACGACATAGATTTTATTTCTGGCCTTTTCGTCTATTCTTTCTTTGTATTGAAATAACTCAGCCTTATTTACGATTCCCGTGTGAAATACCTCCATGGAATTCCATGGAAATCCATGGAAATCTATGGAAATCCATGGAATTCCATGGAAATAGATGGAAATCCATGGAATTCCACGGAACTTCCATGGAGCATCCATAGAGTATCCATGGAGTTCCATGGAATGCCATGGAGTTCCATGGAGTATCCATGGAGTTCCATGGAATGCCATGGAGTTCCATGGAGTATCCATGGAGTTCCATGGAATGCCATGGAGTTCCATGGAATGCCATGGGGTTCCCTGAAGTACCGATGCAGTTCCATGGAATGCCATAGCGTGCCCATGGAGTTCCATGGAATGCCATAGCGTGCCCATGGAGTTAGATAGAATACCATGCAGTTTGTATGAGAAAATCCATAGAAATTCAGTAATCAAGCAACTCATCAACTTGTTAGCCACATGTTCAAGTCTGCACTTTTTATTGGATAGAAAACTAGGAAACATTTGAAAGCTTTCTAAAAGCAAAATAGCTAGTACGTTTAAATTACACAGATAATGCAAAAGTATAATGTTCACCGACGCTGAAAGTCCGAGTGTAAGAAATTTTATTGCTAACTATAAAGAGGAATGTTTTGTGTGCTTAATAAAAAAATGATCCTGTTAAAAAAAAATAAATATAGAAAATTATTTTTTAGTAGGGCTGTCTGCCATTTATCTTTTAAAATCAGAGTTGCATTTAAAATATGAGAAGATCACTGTTATTAACAACATGCAGTTGCTTCATTACATTGACACAGTGCCCCTATTCGTACAGGACCCTTACACCGACGTGTATCTGCTATGACATACAGGATCAAGTCTCTACTTGAAATTTATATGAAATTTTTAAGTCTCTTGAAATTTGTGATCAACAAATTTCCATGAAAGTGTAAGTCTCTTCAACCACTGTTCCATTTTTAAGGAAAAATTTCAGTGGCAAATTTTGAAAAGAAGAAAAATTCGATGTGGCAATTAAGATTGAGAACCGATCCAGGGGCGTAGAATCCATAATTCGTAGTGTAACCACTCTACCGCGGAGTAGTAACTCGCTACGGTGGAGTTTGATTTTATTCATATATAATAACAACAACCGTAACCCTAATTAGAGGCTAACCGTTTCGAGTCAGTGCTTAAATAGACCTAATCAGTTTAGTCGGAATCCCGTATGAATAGCAAATACAAGACGATGTACGGGTCCCGTACTTAAATAGCCAGTATTGGAAATGATCCCACTAGGCACATTAACTCTTTTCGGTATCCAAGTGTGTTTTGGTTGAGAGCTAAGATTTTCCCTATTACTCAAGTCCAACCTGATTGATGAGATTGCTTTGTATGAAGTATTTCGGCGAACCTACACAAGCAATATTAGAGTTTTTTTGCCGCATCCGTGGATAGGCTAGTCTGCTACACAGCCGTTTTTAGTGGGAAGGAGCGTTGCGTGACGACACTAAGAACGGCTGTGTATATAAGACTATGAATAGGCCTGCTGCCTTTTTTCAAAGGTTCCCTCACCTGGGAGAACAATGCAGTATTTTCCTCTCACTGCTTTACTCTTCGACAGCGTCGGAATGATACAATTAACTCTGAAAGGGACCACAATTTAAAGCCTTTAAAGACAGACATCTCCACGATCGTGCCGTGATTTGACGCCGTGTTTGGTGCTTGAACTGGCGTCCAGACCTCTCCGCTTAGTGACTTACGCGATCACGTGGGGCTTTTGAACCAATAGAAATGCGTAGAAGATCAGTTTTCTTGGTTCGAATATTTAGGCGGACTTCTGTGCAGTACGACAGTGTTGTGTAAACGGATTGTTTTAGCGATGAATGCATCCGAAAAAGATGTTATTTTCAACGCAAAATATCACTTGTGAGGTTGCTTACATTTGGCTTCTTTCAAATCGACTTCGATTAAACAATGACTCAGCTGGATCGCACATTAAAGAGGAAGGTAAGCTTAATATGTACACAACTCGTGTTTGGTTGCTCAACTGAATTCGTCCGCTCGATTATGTCTCTGCTAGATTTAGAAGGATGACTTTTCGGGTGCTGTTTATCGGTTTTAATATGTAGTTTCTATCTTTTTTGTTTATACAGATATGAATGTGGTCTTTCCTGCAAATTGCCTTTGGAATCCTTTGGAATAATTACTAATTCTGGCAGAATTAGAAATCGGAGACTGTACTTCGATGGACTGCTTCGATGCATAAGAAGAAATATCATATTTAGAACTTTATGCCTGCTACGTAAAAACTATACAAGAGACTGATAAATTATAATTGTGGCTGACGCCGTTTTTTCCCAAGGATTAGGTAGGACTTTGCTATAACTAAATACCATAGTGGTTCTGATCGAGGAAATAATGCACTTATCAATTGAAACCCCGACCCCCCACCCCGGGCCAAGGTGGGGATTTGACTTGACATCATTACAAATCTTAGCAAACTCCTACCATACTGTGGCATATTGACTGGTAAAATCCCCACCCAGGTGGGGAAACCTTTTTAATTCCCTGACTGCCTTTATGAACATTTCGTTGGAATTTTCAACTTCTTTATTGACAAATTTGCTAGAGCAAAAAGGCAAATATGATAACAGACCAAGATATAAATACAACAAATATTTGACAATAATTAAGTAAACATAATGACCCCTGCCCACTTATAAAAAAGTCAGGGTACAAAATGGATGATGGAGTAGCACATTGCTATAAATTTATATTAAAAGGAAATCGGTACCATCTCCATTGAAAGTAATTGCTGCAATGATAAGTTTAATTGAAAATAGCAGCCAACATACCTTAACTTTCACAAGCTGATGTTATAAATAGACTGCATAAAATAGTTCCTAGGAGCTATATTTTATATTTTGACTTAAAGAATGAGGAAATATAGAACTTCAGAAACCACATGGGTTTAACAGTAGACGTTAAACGAGCTGTGTCACGAAATTTACCAAAATGTAGGCTGTGGGAACTGCCACCAAATTGAGTGAAACATAAAAATAACCACTGAAGACATTAAAAGATGGTATAAATGACTCAGCAAATACAAAAGAAGGTACAGATGGGAAAACATGAAGAAGATTAAAACGGATTGAAATTTTGGTTTTTGAAAACTTGTTAACCTAACAGTTTTTCAAAGTTCATTGTTTTTGTCCGTAGCGCTTGATATGCTTGGGAGAAACATCTGTTTGAAACGAAGCCTTGATTTCTTCATTTCTTTGCCCACAATAACGCTCAGAAGCGAGTAGGGACCACGTAACTGGCAATATTAACAAAATGAACCAGATAGTGTGTGTCTGCATTGTTTGAGAAGTTTTGAATAACAATAACAATTACCAGTCAACGAGCCATGAAAGCTCAAGGCAAAATCGCAAAGGATTAATCTAAGTGGAGAAATGAAAGGAAAAACCATTAGGAAACTTACGGCCGAGCAATACATCAAAATACCAGTGATCACGTGAAGAAATTACCCTGAGGAAACTAGGCACGAGTCAAATCCCCACCTCGCTCCCCGACTTCCGTGGACTGCCATGAATATGCTAAGCAAATCCTGAGAAATCCCCCACCCCCACGGGCTAACCATGCCTTCAAATACCATAAAAATCCCCCACATTACCCCACATAGGCCCGGGGTGGGGGGGGGGGTCGGGGTTTCAATTGATAAGTGCATAAGAAGCACTTCCCTTTGTTGTCGCATTAAATAAAGCCATGTTTAAGTCTTACATACTGACGGTTTATGCATTCAAGTATTAGCTTATTTTTTTCCTCTCAAATATGCATCTGTTCGCCTGTTACTTTTCTTAAACACCAGGCCAAGATTCCGTGCTTTATTAATTATATTAAATCTAAATTTTTCATTTAAGCTACTTCAATATGATGGCTGCATTCTAAACTGCAATGTATATAGTCACAAGTAAACATTAATTTTTTAAGCTACAGTATGTCAAATTTTCTACCAAAAGCATGTTAACTTTTAATTGTTGTCTTTAAAAAGAGATTTGTGCGGTCCTTTTATTGATTAAATAAATTACATTGGACCAAAATCTGTTATGTATTCCATTTGATTCACTGGATATTTTAAATGTCTAATTCCTGAGAATACCATGGAACTCCATGGAGATCCATGGAATAATCGATGGAGTAGTTTCTATGGAATTGCATGGAACGTTTCCATGGAATTCCATAGAAAATGTCATAATCCTCCATGGAAAATGTCAATGCAGAAATTTCCATGGAATTCCATGGAAATTGGTGCCCTAATGTTTTCCATGGAATTCCATGGGAAATGTCCTAATCCTCCATGCAAATATTTTCCATGGAAATCTATCCAATTCCATGGAAATTGATGTCCTAATCCTCCATGGAATTCCATGGAGAATTTTCCATGGAATTCCGTGGAGGTTTTTCACACGGGTTGATACAAATAACCAACTGACTGCAATTTTTGTAGTAAATTTCAAACTTAATTTTTCAAATAACGAATAAAGTATCTTTTGTTGTATTGCGGGGATTTTATATAGTAAAAAGAAAATTACATTGTCGCTTGGAGATGCGAAATTTCTCTTCTCGTGTTGAGAATATTTCACTCGTTCGCGCTTTCAACACTCAATAGAAATTTCGTGTCTCCGCGCAGCCATGTAGTATCTTCTATGTATCAACTGCGTATATTTATTACTTAGCCGGAGGCGCCAAGTAAAGAATTCGCGACGCTCAGTAATGTAAGATTAGGCACGCAAAGTCTGTGAGTTTTCGGTTTAAGTCGGCTATTTAACGAAGTGAGGCCGGAGTTACTTCGAGATACCTCGATATCACTTCGAGTTCTTTCGGCTACAATAAATATTTTGATTTATTCGAGGAATAAGTAATTATTTGTTTTGGCGTACGCAGGGTTTGAACCAACTCACCTGCGATCCGTCAGATCAAACTCTGAGTTTACGAATTAGCCGATTGCGCCACCGCGACCAAATCTTGTTTTTGACTTGAAAGTTAGCTGTATTATCGTGCAGTGGTGGGTTCCTTGCAGGAAATGGAAGAAAAGGGACAAAAATAATCTCTTAGTTTAACTGAAATTGATTAAAACGATGAAATGGTTTAAAATGGAGCAAGTGGGGAAAATTACTTGGTTGCCGTAATATCTCGACTTCTGGTTTAAAATTTGAACGATGGCCACAAAGGCTATTAGCGTTTGTTCGCTTGCTTCGTAGCAAAAAAAGTCCAAGTTTGAACATTCGTGGTGTTCTGAAAATATTAAGGAAAGGCTTTGAAGAATTTTTGTTGTCGTTGTTTTTGTTGTTTACATCGAGTTCATGCAGTTAGCGTGGAACTAATTTACCGTCGCTAAAGTTACCTGCTAAATGGTGTTCCTACTAATGATCTTCAAATTAGCGTTAGGTTGTTTCAGCTTGTCCAGTCGTTTATTTTTCCATCAAATCGTTTCTGTTAGTTGCTGTGTGTCTTTTTTTATATTTATTTTTTTTGCTTTGTCTTGCTTTGTTTTGTTTTGTTTTGTTTTTTTCTTTTTATTCTTTCGCTTTTTTTATGTGTGTGTGTGTTCGATCTTGACGTGCATTTGCATATTGAATGTAAACAGCGTAAGCTCTGTATATGAGTCCGAGCCCTTTAGGCTCTTAGAGCAAATGTTGCAATAAATATTGTTTATAAAAGAAAAAAAATGACCGTCGCGTCGTTCCGAAGGCCAAAAACCTAATGGAGAACCATCCATGTCATGATGCAACTTTAACCGCTGACCTCCACGTGCCAAAACTTAGGATATTGTAGCCCTTCAGGGCGGAAAAACGTAATGAGCATGCGTGAACTTTTTTGCCCAGATCCCCTGGCCGGGTTTGAAAAAATGGCGGGATTTCAAATATTTTATTGCCTAAAAATAAAATGTTTCCACTCATAACCTGGAAAGAACAGGCAATTTGCCTTCAAAAGTTGCAAGTTGTGGTTATAACCTTGTCGTTACTTAATTTTCTCGAAGAATACCTCATAGTAAAACGGACTTTAACGACATTAATTTCCTTGCGTTGTACTGGAAATGTGCATGCGTAAGTACGATTTTTTTCAAGATGCATTCACAAAATGTGTTCATATAAGGAAGTTCCTGGATATATAAGGTCCGGAGCTCCACTGTGGACACAAAAACAACATATCTTTGGACAGTGATTTGCCCAAAAAAATTAACCCTTGCCCACAATGTGTTTGAAGTCACTGAACTTTGTCGCACTTGAGCTGATATTTTAAAACCCTCGCTCGATCGGATACTCGTAGTTTCGCAGATCACTAAAATATAAACAAAATCCTCAATGTAGAAGTTATTGCGTTGATATGTGGGCAGAAAAAAGGTCAATCATTATCTGATAAAATCTTCCCAAAAATCGGTTTCAAAGCAACTATAGTTTTTTAAACTTGCTCGTTTCGCGCAGATATATAAATTTTGCTTTGTGTTGTCAAGTTGAACACGCATAACATCTGTCAAAAACCTACGCGTAAGTAGGATTTCCTTCAAACAAAGTCAAAGTTATATTATTTCAAAAACTTCTTGCTGACGATGAAGAAATGAATTTTCTGTACGAAAACAACCTACCTGAAGATCTTAAAAGCAAAAGATGCAACTTGGCAGCCAAGCCATGATTCACCACTTAGCTATTTTAAGCTTAACTGGTCCATGCGAGGGTCTTCGTTTAAGCAAATTAAACTAAGCCGATCATTAGAAAATACAGAAAATTGCACATAAGGGTTTGTTTTGCTCGCCTTAGTCAAATCCAGCTGCAGCAATTGTTTACGGGAAAAGAGTCAATTGTTTTGAAGTCACTGCCGGCAGTTCTCTACGTCACAACGAGTGAAAAGGACAATTTGCGTACAGAAAGTTATTCTTACAAAGAACAGAAACTTTCACAGTGTATTAGAAAACAAAACTATGTAATGAAAAATGAAAACAACTCTAACTACTATTACTTGAGCAACAGAAAAATGATCCTGAGTAAGCTTGCTGGCCTTCTGTTTCCGAGGAAGTTTAATAAGCGCACCAGTTTGTTCACTCTGATGCGTTATAACAACAAAATGGTTCTTTTACTGAAGATAAAGATAAAGCTGGTTCTGCAAAGGTAATAAATCTGGGCTTGTAAAAAAAGTAACCGTAACTACTAATAACAGAATACAAGCGGGTTTTAATTCAACCCGGCGAAATCTACTCATAAATTAATCAGATGCACAATCAAAAAAAAATACTCGCCTCTTTAAAAATGTTCAAAACCTTTTATTCCACCTCAGACTGACGGAATGATCAGTTTTTTCTTTAACATCGGTTGTTCTGAATCCAAAGTAATTTTCAAGCGACGAAAAAAAGGCAAACATGTCAAATAAAAATGCTTTACAGGGAGCAAACGTTCGCACCTGGTGCACTTCACTCAGAACTCCAGCAACAAACAAACACAGTCAACACACAGAAAAGCCCGCCTTGAGCCTGCGATAAGAGATGCGCAGAAGCTTGCGCAGAACGTTTTTCCGCCCTGAATTGCAGCCCCGTTAACCCATGTAGTTTGGACGTCTTTATTAGTGAGGGTGGACAATCTTTTGTGTTTTCTTTGGTTTTTTTCTCATTTTGCCAGGCACAGTGCTTTAATCGCATTTGGAAATATATTGTTTTTAAAGAGTCTTCGGAGACTGAGTTGTTTCTGAAAAGTTTTGATAGGAAAGATGATCGTCAGAATACCAACGTTTTTATGTGTTTTGTATCATGCCCACAGCAGCCATCAGTCCTTGAGAACGTCTACCGTTTGCCTTAAAACTACAAAATGCTACACTAAGATGTCTTTGTTGAGTTTACCAATTTTGTTTGCTCTTGCTCAGAGTTGGAGAGACAAAGTAGGTTTCAACACTTGACAAATGCTTTTGGGGGTATGGGTACACTTGGAATTGACTTAGCCTTTATGATGATGATGCAACCATCTCTCACAACAATGAGGGACAAAAAAGAGGGCAAATTCCCCATCCTTAATCCACACTGTAGCAGTTTTTCATTGATCGCATAGTGCCACAACCATTTTTAGTGTAAAATTTTTCGTTTCAGTTAACGCCTGCCTTTGTAATAGTGCTATTTTTATTGAGCTTTGCCAAAACCATTCATGATTCTTATTTTATCATTGGTATTTACTTTGTTATTAAATAGTTCGTAGGCAAAGAAAAATGCCATAAATTCCTCCATGTTTAGTTATATTAGGATAGGAAATCACGTGCGTGTCAAAAGCTCGGGGGTGACCCCGGGGTAGGGAAATGCCCGACCCCCGGGCCACACAAAATTAGTTAATGGCACATCCCCAGGACTGACATGGAAGGCAAATGCCTCACAGTATGAGGGGGGGGGGAGGAGAAGGATGGGGAAAAGAAGACGTGGTAGCTAGGTGCGAGGAAAGAAAGCGAGGGCTCACTCGCATGTGGCTTTGCCACTCGAAATAGAGACGTTGCTACCGTCCGTAATATTTCTTGGTAGTCGTTCGCGTTCGCTATTCGGTGACCGACTGCCATTTTTGTCAGGATTTCCGAGGAAAATTTTCAACCATTTACAAACTAAGCATCGTCCACTATGGCTCCACATCTTCATTTTTACCCATTTCAACCAATCCTTAACAATTAACAACATTGCGTCACACGTGCCTAACACAAAAAAATCCTCACATATAAATGATACCACGACGGCCAAGTGTACGCTCCGATAGCGTCTTGTTGCTGTGTAATATTGAAAATTGCTCACCAATAATTATTGGTTGATAATTTGATTGATTTATAGATTTATGTGTACCAGGTAATTAGCTCCATTGCATATTTTATTTGTGATAAAAAACAAAAGAACAAACAGCACAAACCCTGTGTGCATAAGTAGGGACAGTGATTGCATGGTGGTAGGTAAAAGAGATCTAAGGAATGTCGTGTAATTTGTATTTTGCTTTTTAGGTCACGTTAGGTCTGAAATGAAAAACGTTTTTAACATAGCAGAGGACACTGAAACAAGATTGTGGAGCAAGTACATGTCAGCCACGTATGAACTTCATGCTAATATGGAACAAACAGTGAAGAATGCTGGTCTTTATCAAGGACAGGTACATATTGATCAGAAGTAAACCAGGGGAAACCGCTTTAATTAGGTTGTTCATTTAACTGAGTGGATCACATTCATTTTCAGGAATTTAACTGTCTCGATTATAGGGGGCTTTCTTGTGTTAAGTTCTCATGGAATGCAGCATGATGAAGTGGTTAAGAAGGGCGCTGATTTCAACACAGTGGCCCTTGGCACAAGTCCTTCCTCTGACCACCAGTTGGATTTGTTTTTCTGTCCTTGTGTGAGTTTACTGTACCAACGAGCCAGCGGTTAAAAAAATGTGAGACTGACGACGCGGCCATAGAATAAGAACATACATTAATTTGAGAGGTGTTTTCCCCTCAGCAAAATGTCGATGTGTCGTAAGTGTTTTTCAGTGTGTGACTGAGACATTTTTGCCCATAAGACGGTGTTACCGAGCTGGTTAACAGGCGAACACTATTTTATTTTACAAAAACTTTGGTGGTTGGGGTGATGTCATATTTCTTACTCGCTGCGTACCACCTCTGAGAAAAATGTCGCCCTCCACATTATAGAAGTCAAGAAAACAAACTTCTAAAATAAATGTAATATACTAGACAATCCGGTTAGCCCTAGTGGGAGACGAGTACAACACAACATACTTAGCTTCTTTATGAGGCTGGTATGATTACTCCTTAAGCATGCCTTTGAATGACAAACTACTTTGTTTTACTTTGTACCTGCGAAGCGACTCTGTTCACTTGAAAACCGATGTATTTTTGTATTTAATGTAAGTGGAAAACAATATTTTCCTAAACTTTCTCTAACAGAACCAACAAGTATTTATTTCAACATGCTTGTATGGCGTGGAATAGGTAACTGAATGACCACACATTGGTCAACCAAGCATTAGGTACTTCTACAGTCAACTACAGATAATGGTACAAAAAGGTACCATTACAGCTGCCACACCCGCATCGTGGCTTTCTGAACTGGATGCTGCTGGGCAGTACAGAAATTTGGTTTCCTTAAGTTGCATTGGTCAGTGTTCCAGATAAGAGACGGGTCTCAGAAGGCTTCCTGACCCGACAGGTGACATGTAAGTGTTAAGTTAAATATAAGGAAAAAAATTAGCACGTGGTGCTGGTGACCCCTCAGATGGTCTACATGACCCCCTGCTTGAAAGAATTAACTGGAACGCTGATTGGTTATTATGCAGGTGGACTGCGATGTCTGGGATGATGTGTACAGTGAAAGGGATGTAAACTCCGCTTGGTCAAAATGGAAGGAGTTATTTCTGTCAGTTTGTAATAAACATGCTCCTATTCGCCATAAAGTGTTTAGGGGAATCAAATATCCATGGTTAACATCTGCAACAAAATAGCTTATGAATGAACATGATTCTTTTCTAAGGAAAGCGAGGAAAACTGGATCTGAGGTCGACTGGAGTACGTATCGGCTATTACGAAATCAAGTTTCTAACAGGATCAAAGTCGAGAAAGCGTCGTTATCAGAGAAACAAGACTCAGGATAATTTGGCCAACCTGAAATCATTTTGGAGCACTATGAGGAGCATTTTCCCAAATAAAAAGAGAAAATCTTTGACCGTTCAATCTATTATAACAGACGATCGTGAAACCATCACTAATAAAACAAATATTGTCGAGAAATTTAACACCTTTTTTACGAATACTGTGTGCAAACTCCTGGAATCCGTTCAACCAACTACTATTCTTGGCCTCTCTGATGAAAAGTTTACAAATGAAAGTTTTATGCTTCAACCAGTTTCCGAGACCTTTATTTTTAAGCAACTAAAGGAGTTAAAAGTGAAAAAGGCCACTGGTTTACATAGGACTTCGGCTTGGTTTTTGAAAGACGGCGCTTCGGTTATCGCTTCCACAGTGACATTTCTTGTAAACTTATCGCTTAGTACTGGAATTGTTCCATGTGATTGGAAGATGGCCGGGGTGGTTCCTTTGTGAAAGTATGGACAACGTAAACTACAACGGCACCTGCCGAGGTTTGACCTTCTGAATCCAATTCAGTCAGGGTTCACACAACACCATTCAAGGGAGAGTGCTGCGATCTATTTCACCGTTGAGATTAGAAGAAGTGCAGATTCAGAAAAGTTAACGGGTGCCCCGTTCATAGATCTGAAGAAGGCCTTTGATTCTGTGACACATAAGCAACTCTTATCGAAATTGAAAAGATTTGGCTTTGGAGAAAATTGGATTAATTGGTTTTCAAGCTATCTATCCGACAGCTTTCAAGCTGTCTCCCTGGATAACGAGCTTTCGGGTCCCTTAGCCAGCTGTCCTAAGTGGAGGCTTTAAGGGAGTACTGATCCTGGATCCGGTTTTATTTACATTGTATATTAATGACCTACCTAACGGTGTTAATGTCTGTAAAGTTATGATGTACAATGTATACTGATGACACAGCTGTCTTTTTCTCAGCTGCACAAATATCGGAAATTGAGTTACAACTAAATATGGAACCTATTAATCTCTCTGAGTGGCGTTCTGCAAATTAACTGATTTTGAATTTAAAGAAGACTGAGTTTGTGATTTTTGGCACCCACCCGAGACTATGTCGCCAAGACATCGATGGGGCTGATATAACGTTGGGAGGGGAATCTGTGAAACATTTTGATGCCATTAAATACCTAAGTGTAGTTTTGGACAACAGTCTTCTCTTTAATTTGCATATTGACTATGTAAATATGAAAGTTTCTAAAACGTTGGGGATGTTCTCAAGAAACAGATCATCATAAACAACTGAAGCATCGAAACGATTGTATAAATCGATGATACTGCCAAATTTGGAGTACTAGTGTGCTGTTTTTCATGGCTGTGGTAATGGAAATGAAGAAGAGTTGGAACGCCTTAAGAGACGTGCGTCTTCGAGAGTGTTAAAGACAGTACATTTGTCCACTGAAGATATGACTTCCGGTCTTGGTTGGGACCCTCCTAAGAGGAGAAGAGAGAAACATATCGTCAAGCTTGTCAAGAATTGTCTTGATGGCCAGGCTCCAAGTTATTTCTCAGATTATTTTCAACCGCGAGTTACTTATGATGTTCATGCCTATTACATTAGGTCTAAGCATAAGTTGTCCATTGATAAATTCAATCTCAAGTCGCCTAAGCGAGCCCTTTTTAATAGGGGACTACCCTATTTTAATGGTTGTAGATAATTTTATCCCAGTTTCGTATACAGTTTTATCCCAGTTTCGTATATAGTTTTATCCCAGTTGTGTATATAGTGATTTATATATAACTGAAATCATCATCCTGTTAAAATATGTTATTATTATTATGATTATTAATATTAATAACATCCGTCCGACCCTGGCTACTTAGGTGATACACACCTATAGACAACCTGCGCGTCTTTTCATTACAGTGACGGTGAAGAACTAATATAATATCAGCAGAGGGCACCAGACAGGGTGACCCTCTGGCTATGAGCCTATACGCCAGAAGTCTTCAACCACTTTTAACGCGACTGCACGTCTCAAGCGCAGCAAAGCAGTATTGGTTTGCTGATGATGCAACCGGAAGTGGTTGCCTGCAAGACGTGAGGAAATGGTGGGATGAACTATCAAAGAGTGGTCCTGCGCTTGGTTACTTCCCTAATGCCTAGAAATGTTGGTTGATCGTCAAACCAGAACGAGAACAGGCCGCCAGGGAGGTGTTTAGGGGTACTGCTATTAACGTCACCATGGAGGGCCACAAGCACTTAGGCGCTGCTCTAGGATCTTGATCGTTTCTTGAAGAATATGTTGGAGAATGGGTCAATGAAGTTACTAAACTCGCAGAGTTCGCCATATCACAGCCTCAAGCAAGCTATGCAGCCTTCACTTTCGCTCTGCGTCACTGTTGGACATATTTCCTTAGAACATTACCAGATATTGCAGAAGTACTAGAGCCACTCGACCGCGTGATATATGAGGTTCTCATACCAGCTGTTACTGACCATACAGTTACTAAAGTAGAGCACGACCTTGTTGGTCTCCCTGTGCGCGTGGGAGGCCTTGGATTTACAGATCCTGTAGTGACCTAATCTTCTGAATACGAGGCTTCAATCAAAGTTACTAATCCGCTCATGAGTCGAATCGTTGAGCAAGAGCACCAGCCTCCAGATGCCTCAGAAATTCGAACATTGCAGCTGAGCACACGAAAACAAAAAGACGACTGTCGAAGTGAGAGGCTGGAGCAGGTGAAGAACTCCCTGCCGACAAAAGCTAAGCGAGCTGTTGAGTTTGCTACAGAGAAGGGATCATCAAATTGGCTGACTGTGATTACCCTCAAATAGCTGGACTACAATTTGAATAAGAAGGAATTTAGAGATGCAATCAAGTTACGGTACAACTGGGAAATAATGGACACGCCCATGCACGCATGCGGTGATCAATTTAGCGATCAATTTAGCGTGGATCACACAATGGTGTGTCAGCGTGGGGGGTTCATTATCCAGCGCCATAGCGAACTGCTCGATTTGGAAGCAGAGATGCTTAGGATGGTCTGTAATGATGTGGAAGTAGAGCCGGTCCTTCAGGAGGTTACTGGGGAGACATTGAATCATGGCGTAGCCTGCGTAGCAGGCGTCGAAAGGGGTAGGGGTAGGCGATAGGGGATAGGGAGGAATGGAAAAAGGGGAGGGGGAGGGGACGCCTGCTCTAAGAACCCCCTTTTGTTCATATCTGCGGACGCTGGCGTCCGCAAATTCCTGATTGGCTGAGCCGTAATGAGTAACACATTGAAATCCGCGTTTCACATTTCAACAAACAGTTGAGATGGCAGCCGTAGACGTGGATGTCGTAGAGAGTGCTTTGAGAGATGTGAATTTATCTAGTGGTGGAGAAATTGTTTTAAAACCAGAGCAGGAATCAGCAGTAAGGGCTCTTTTAGCCGACAAGATGTCCTGGCGGTTTTGCTGACCGGATACGGCAAGAGTTTAATTTACCAAATGTTTGTACGCGCGAAGAACTACGAGCTAAATGGTAATTATATCAATAAAAGGGGGTGGTAAGCCTACACGACTTTTACCTCATGCCAAAATGCTGCTTATTCCAATAAAGTTGTTTTTATCTGCTGGGTAGATTATGCTCTGGAAGTTCCTGCATTTATACTGAGCAAATGCGATTTTAGCCGCATGTTTCACACTGAGAGGTCATGACACACATATCGGTTGACTGTAGTTATTGTTTTCTGGTCGGCAGGATTTGCCCTCTGATGCAAGCGCATTTTCTTTGACCTCTTTTGAAGCGTAAAGCTTTTTTATCACGGCTGAATAAGGGTTCCAATTTTCTCCAAGGTACCTTCTGGATCTGAATAATTAAGCGATTTTCTTTAGTCCGTGAGTGTAATGTTTTTCTGCAATGCTGTATCACGCTGGGCCCAGCTCGTCAGTTTTCTTTGCAGAATGTTAAATTATCACGGATAGTGACTTACAGATCCAAAATTATAAGAGTGAACTGCAGCTTAAACCGAAGCTACATAAACTTACTATGGAGAATTGAATTGTGACTCAGTAAACTCCAGCTTAGGGTTTTTGTAAAGATAGTGTGAGTCTTTTGACTGGAGCGGGTAGTTCCTCCCTTGATAATAGCTTTGAATAAGCTTAAAAGTCTTTAAACTGTTTTGTCATTGCCACAGTTTGGGATCAGGCAAGACTATGGTTTCGGTTCTCCACATGAACCTCATCAGTTGCCCGGTTGGCTTTGTGCTTAGTTGCTTTTGCAAAGAGCAACTTTAGTTGTACTTTGTTGTGGCGAGAACGGTACAGCCGTTCTGTCTTTGAGCTTTGAACTGGAACGTAAATACCCATGTGGCGGATCGAAATTCTTAAAATAACATTTCCACGTTAAATTTCTGGTTGTCCAGAAGTGAGAATTTCTCGCTTCGATAAATATTTATGCAACGTGAGTTCCCGGCAATTCAAATAAATTTCCGCGTAACCACAGGGTTCCGCCTTGCGTTCTCATTGGCGAGTGTAGCGACACTTGATTGACAGTAAGCGTAATCGGATTACTAGAAAATTGGTGGGCGTTATACAAAAACATAGGCTCTTAGAGCAGGCGCTCCCTTCCCTTTTCCCTTTCTCCCTCCCCCCTCCCCCCCTCCCCTTTTTGCGCCTGCCACGCAGGCTAATCATGGCGCTAACAAATCCCCTGATGCCCGTTTGGATATTCATGCTCGAGGCTCTTGGGAGAGACAGAGATCTGCATTCTTCGACGTTTGGGAGTGTCACCCTAATGCAGGCTTGACTCCTAAGCAGATCTACAAGAAGCATGAGAACGATAAGAAGAGGCAGTATGCGGAAAGTGTAATGGAGATGGAACAGCGAACGTCACTCCCCTAGTTTTCACGACCACAGGCGGAATAGCGGATGAGTGTGTTAAGTACCACAGCAGACTTGCGGAGCTGAGCTCAAATAAGAAGGGAGAAAGTTACTCAAGCACAATTTCCTGGATAAAAGATAAAGTGTCTTTCACCATCGTACGCTCTGCGATACTATGCTTGAGAGGCTCAAGAAGACGACAGCTAGACTTTGTTTACTCAGATTTACAGATCGAAAACTTTTTTTTAACATGTCCTGTGAATTCTTCCTACCCCCTGTCTGACCGTGAGTAAGAATGAGTGTAACCTTGAAAATAGTCTTCTTAATCGAAATGGATTTTCTTTATTGAAATGAAATATTTTTGATTCGCGATAATTATTTTGATTAAATGATTTTTTTCTAATCAAAACTAAGTGCTCTTTTTAATCGTTTTGACGGAATAGTTTCTTTAAGCGAATTAATTGTAAATTAGTTACTAGCATTCTAATCAATAAAATTATTTTATTATAAAATTATTGTTATCATTAAAAAAAAATTATTATTATTATGAAAAAAAAAAAACTCTTAATTAACATATGACCAGTTTACATTCCACTATCATAGACTAAAATTTTGATGAAAGAAAAATATTAAGACCCTAAAGCACTAATATACAAGCTCACGCCATTATCGATTTTCTAAAATTAGCGGACACACGCTTGGCTAGCTTTTAAGCGGCAGTCATGATATGACCAACTTACATTCCACTATCATAGACTAAAATTTTGGTGAAATAAAAATATTAAAAAGATCCTAAAATACTAATTTACAAGCTCACGCCATTATCACTATCTAAAATTAGCGGACACACGCTTGGCGGGCGTTTAAGCGGTAGTCATCAATGAAATCCCCTTGTGGAATTTGTGGAAGGGTGCCCTGGAACCTCTTACGCATGTGTGTACTGACCTTAAAATCCCAAAAGAAAGCAATGTTCTAATCCAAGTAATAGTAATGTCATAAGGTTCCTCATTCTTTTCTGAGAGCTTCTCGGCTAGGCGTTTGAGAAAGCAGTTGAAGTCGGCTCCCATCCCACCGTTGGTTCCAAAAACTAGGGGAGTGGAATATCCCATTTCAACGTCCAGCACCCTCTGTTGGTACTTCCGCTTTTCCCCCTCCTCCTGCTCCTTAAAGATTCTGGATGTTACCTTTCCCTGGTTATACTTGGAGTTAACATGCGGTACTCTGACACCGAAAATATCCACGAGACCAAAATCCTGCTGCCTTCAAGTCCAGTCTTGCCTGCGGGCTTGTTACCGCGCTTCTGAGGTTGAATCGCTCATTACCGAGAGGTTGTAGTTATGGTTCGACTTCAAAATTGGTGCAAACATTAAGAGTAAGGTAGGTTGCGAACACCATCGTGTCTCTGCGCCACGAACCCTCCCTTTTGGCATGACAGGGCATGACAGACGGTATACTTCTCACCACAAACACACTTGCTTGGTAAGTCGGACAGGGGCATATTATACCTTAAACGCAGAGAGTCTCTGAATTCTTGTTTATTCAGCACTAAGCCTTGATCGACAAGAGGCACTGCGGTAAGCCATGAGCTCGCACCCTTGTCTCTCGATTGGTTAACTGACCGCAGCAGATCCGAGGGTAGAGTGGAATCAATACTTTCCATTCTCGATTTCACCGACGCAGTTTTCAAGGCTTGATGTTGTCTTTTTAACCTCTCGCTTGCCACCATGAACATGCTCCGTGTGGTAATAGAATCTACGTACGGTGCTGTTATTTACGTAGAAGCAGCAAACTGCTGTGGAGCTTCAAACCGAGAGTCGGGTAGGCCTAACCCTCCTTGAGTGGGTGTCAAAGTCACCAGCTGACGCAGATCACTAGGGAGGGGTTCCATTTGACCGAATAGTGTTGGGAAAAGTAAGTCGTCGATCGCCTCTTGGATAGGGTTAACGTAATCTCCAAGCGACTCTATTGTGTGCATGAAATAGGTAAACTTAGATTTGTAACCCTTCGTGAAAACAGTGTAGGCTGCATGAGGCTGGCTCCTTGCTCTCTCATATAGTGCTTCGAGTTCTCCTTTCCATCCAAGGACCTTTACCCGACAATACTGATCTTTGAACTCTTGAGATCCGACGACGGCCCCTAAGTCGCGCCGACCTTCAGTTGTAACACCCCCTTTGCCTCATCTGCAAGTACGTCCGACTTCACAATCAGCCAGCTCTTTGATCCATTCACTAGATAACCATACTTCTTTTCTTCCTGACTCAGGTGATTATACCAGTTATACAACGGCACAATTTGTCCACCCCCGCACAGTCGTCGGCTAGTCATACTTGTTTAACACCTGGTGTGCTTGTCCTTAAGCTCTGGATCATGATAGATGAATTGACCGAGTACCAGGGCATGGCCAAGGGATCCCCCTGCGTTGTACCCTCTTGTGAAAATATCTCACCTCCGCCGCAAATATAGAGCCTTGACGGGCTTCTGTAGGTGTTACTGATGTAAAGTGACATTTCCTTACAGGTTATCTGGATGTTATGCAAGGCGACGGATCTGTTCATTTGGTTAAAGGCCTTGATTGCATCTATCAGTAAAATACCATCTGTTCCTTCCTCTACAAACACTTGACTCATAGTATGCATCGCGGCCTCTGAGCCTGCGCTATGGCCTGCGCAAACCTGAAGGGGACCCGCTGCCTCTTTGATCTCTTCCTTCAAAAATTCCTTTTTCCAACTATTCACCTCAGGACCTCACCAACGCCAGTTAATAGAATTCCAGGGTTTTTGTCCAGGGGGATGAGTCTGCAAGAGGTATAGCCTTCTAGAAAAGATGGATGGTAAACGATCTTTAACAGATCTCTTGTGAAAACGGCTATCTCCTCTCTCAAAACCTTGCCCTCAGCCTTGAAATTCTTGGAGCAAAGGATTCTTTGATATAGCTCGGCATCTATCCCCGACGGCCCGGCTGAACCCTTTGTTTTGGTTGTAGCATCAAAGATCGTTTTCTCGTCGAACAAGTCAAAAAAGCCAGGAGGAATATAATCAATGGGCCCGTAAAATAAACTCTCATGCGCGATATCTGCTGCTTCCGGGTGTTTCTCCTTCAGCCCTTCTAGGACTTCTGGTGTAATGTTGAGTAAGCCCCTTGAGCTCTCGCTATCCAAAAGCTTAAGGTGACTCGACCCAGTGTTTTTGGTGGGGGTACCATCCTACTTTGAAGCTCTCTGGTATCCCCCACCTTTACTTTTATCGTAAGTCTAACACATAGAATGGATAACATATAGATCAATCTACAATATAACATAAAATTTTTGGCGATCGGAGTAAATGTCACGTGGTTATAATGCCACGCCCCTTTGAGGTCTGAGTCGAAAATCTGCTGTTACCGGCATTTTTTCGTGAAAATCTCTCTGCTACACATAGTGCGCATTAGTGCCTTGCGTTTCACCAAAATCGCAAAGACCCAATTCGAGAAATTCAGCGGTTTCCAAATTTAGGTCATAATTTATGCGAAAATGGTAAGCAAACTTTACACGGATTATATCTTATAAACTATGAGACTCATCTCTTCATTTTGGGCATCCTTATAACAGATGGGTCCTTGCAAGTCAGCAAAACGCTTTAGGGCCTTGTAAATGCGCGCGATTTCGAGCAAAGCAAACATATAGAAATTATAGTTTTCGCTATTTGTTGACGTTTGTCAGCGTTTAAGCACGGATATAGATTGATCTATATGTTATCCATTCTATGTGTTAGACTTACGATAAAAGTAAAGGTGGGGATACCAGAGAGCTTCAAAGTAGGATGGTACCCCCCAAAAAAAAAAAAAAAAAAAACTGGGTCGAGTCACCTTAATAGCTGCAGATAACTTTCCTTGGAAAACTAGTTTTGCATAAGACTTTGGATATTTCCTCAACTGTCTTAGCCTTCTACGAATTCACAAACTTCCCTTAGATGAATCTCACTTCTCTTTCCAAGAGATCTAAATCTCCTTGCCTCCCCAGGTTGAATCTTCGGTGTATCGCTGAACTATGCTCCTTGCTTTTAGAAGTAGCGGACGGCTTTTGGACTATTAGGGTTGGGAGCACCATAAAAGCTTTCAAAGCAACGGAATTTAGATCCGAATTCGAATTAAACTGCTTTATCCAGAATGTTAGCTCTTCTATAAAGGCTTTTCCAGCCCTTCCCGATGGTACATTGAAAATATTTCTCCTGAAATGGGCAATTTCATCGTAAACACCATTAATAGTATCAGAGAAGCCTTCGTGACTGATATTTTGTTCTTTATTTCAGTGGGAGACACCTCGTAACTGGGTAGGTTTGTTTGAATTGTGCTTTGGGATCCCTGTGTTGTATCTTGTGAGCTCTTATTATAATTATTATTATTATTATTCAGCTATTCAATCCCCCAGTGCTCCGGCAACCGTTGATTCACTCCCTGACTTTGTGCTTGAACATCCGTCTGCTGGGGACATCAGCGTTTGTCTGACACGGCGCTGCCCTTTACGATATTCACTTTCAACTTCGTATACTGGGCTCTCTTCTCCTTCCTGCTTGATTACTTGGTATATAGATATATATATTATCTTTTTCCAATGCGAGTGCAACTTTTCAGGTCTTCTTTCACGTAAGTTTCCTACTAGAACTCTGTCGACTCGGTGTAGACCAGGACTGTTACCCTTGCAGTCATATTGATTCTAGATTATTGAGATCTCTTCGCTGCTAACTTATTCTCTGATATTGGCTGGATAGTATGTGGAAGTAGCAGGCCAAATTCCAAAAATCAGATCGATAGGAAATCTTGTTGACCGACCAATAACAGGAAATAAGGCGAGAATCCACTGTCCTTATAACGGGTACAATTATAGGCAGGCGCAACGTCGCTAGGCCGGCATCTCTGGTGTGAGTTGCTCCGTTTTGATGGATCAAACCATTTAACAGCTTTCTTCTAAAGGATGGAAGAGCTGGTTGTCAAATTCACCTCCTTCATTGTTTAAACATTAAGAGTTGACAAGAAAATAACAAAAACATTCAACATTTCGTAATACAGTAATGTAGCGGCAACTAGACAGCCCACGTAAATAGGACGGCGATGGCAGCGAAAACGTCATATGAAAATTGAATTCGCTTTTATCATATTTGAATCAATTTGTCAAATGAACTCGAAATTGTCTGGAGTTGAATTCTCAAGGACCGTATGCAAGTACAGAAAAGGAAAAGGAAAATCGTCGCCTATATGCTTACGTCCTCTATAAAACATGAAATTAGGACATTCCACGTCGTAGTCGTGCAGTGACGGTTAAGAAATGTATAAAAAACGTGATGCACATGCAGAGTTGTTTTGCTAATCTAAACCTATTGCTTTTTTTGACGTTCTCGTTACCATTACCGTCGTGGTTACGTAAGCTCCCTATTGTCCAACTTGGATTCATGAGTGAAACTGCTAAATGAGGCTACATCCACACGAATCTGGATATTTTGAAATCGCATCCTTTTTACACAAATCGGCCTTCCGTTCACATGAAACCAGAACATCCGGACATCAATACCGCATTGCTTTGAAACCACTCTCCAAAAAGGTTGAAGACCCCATCCACACGAATCGGGGTAAAAAATATGCTGTTTCTAAAATGTCCAGATTCATGTAGACATGCATGGCCTCAGTGCTTGTAAACTTGTAAGTGACGCATTCATAACGAGACTCGCTCGCCCTGTCAGCAATATCGTGAGTAGGAAACAGGAAGGAAAGTCGTCAAGAGATCATCATAGGATCTGTTGCAGTCATCGATTCAAGGAGAGATGGAATTTACCCGTTAGTCAATGGTTATGAAAATCCCAGATGGCGGGAGGCCAACTCAGGGGAAAACTGAGTCCTTTTAAAACTTGTTTGAAATGTTGTCAGGCCCAACTCAGTGCCTTGGCCACTTAAAGGGAGGATAAAGTGCTACAGAACTTGCCCTCGGAAACGAAACGACGAGTTCGTCCTGGCGCAGGTGAAGGTTGGGCTCCTAAAAGCAGAGGTGGAGAATGAACACTAATACTCAATCTATTTTTGATCTTAGTTGTGATTCAAGGGTGGTCTTTTGAGTGTTCCTTGTTTACCGTCTGGGGAAGGAACGTAATATTTATAGCTGTGCTGAGATCTGATTTTCCACGTATGATTAGGGTTTTAATCCTTTTGTGTCACCCACCGCGAGGTGACCGCCAGAAATGCAAAATCAACAGTAGCGTGCTTAGCAAGCGTTTCCAATCGAGTTATTGTGTAAGAGAGGAAGGGAGATTAGGTACATCTTTAGCTAATTAAATATAGTCCTTTCTGTATTCTCAATGTAAACTTGAAATTAACTTACAGAACGTTGAGTGTAACAGAACAAATCGCTAAATTATTGTTGTTGCTGTTTCTTCTAAGGTTCTTATTATAGAGAAAAAGAATGAAGATGGTACCTGGCCCCGAGAGAGAACACAGAGGTATTTAACCACTTCCCTTTGTGGATCTGTTAATATTGTACATGGCGCTGTGCAAGTACACATCTGTCATCCATTGATCATGATTGAAAAGCTGTGTTCAGAGAATTGAACTACCTGAAATTCAAATAATAACATCTGTTTTTACTTTTTGTTTGGATTGCAGCTCGTACTCCTCTTCAATGGTGAGTTTTTTTATCTTTACGCTATTTTTTGCCAGTGGGCTGACAGCAACTTCTGTATTTTTATATTTTTGCGCTGCCTAGCGGCCGCGTACAATAATAAGTTTCTGTTTCATTCAATGGGTTGTTTTATCTGACATGAATGATAAAATTATTTGAAGAAACCTTTGCAAGAAATGGAAACTCGCTTGTTGTAATTTCAACGCTTTAATGCCAATCTGAAACCGGTAGAAATCGTCACAATTTAACTCTCGAATTCTCGCATACAATCAACCAAAACCTAACGCGAAGACATGCCGAATAAGCACAGGTAAAACTAGTCATGTGATATATGTTTATCACGCCATTAAAGGAATAACAGAATGTTTACGATCAAAATGTCAATCAAATGATTCTCACACTCCCCACTTTTGGCACTTCAGTGGTCAAATAATCTCAAAGTCAGTCTCAAAAGTTCTCTTCAAAGGATTTCTCGACGACTGCTGCATTCCGGTGTGGTCACCCTGTAGGTGGATTACTGTCAACTACTGGTTGTGATCCTTGCAGTGGGATACTTGAATGACCCGGCACTTGTTTGTCTGTCGATTCTGCTTGTACCTCGATAGGAATTAAGTGTAGGACCACTCTTTTTAAAAGCAGGCTCTTTCCGTTGATGCGTGGTACCTTGACAATAGCCGCTCTAATCCCTCCATCATTGCCTGGTGGAAGTTCTTCCACCTTTTCTAGTTTTCAAAAGGCTCTGGAAGTGGAGTCATTTTTGAGGATGACAATATTAATGTCACCAACACGAACGAGAGAGGGGTTACCATTTGCAGACTTTGTTGTCGGCTTCTCTCGTAAATTCAGCCAGTACTTGTGTCTCCACTGTTTGGCGAACTGTTCTAAGAGCTGTTTGTGGTGTTGCTGTCTTCTTGTTGCAGTGATGTGTGTGCTGATTATTTCAAAATGCTCGTCATCGGAGAGCAAATTGATTTTGCGAAAATTGATCAAATGAGATGGTGTCAGCGGGTGTGAAATAGACTCATCATCGCCATAAATATAGGTGAGTGACCTGGAGTTAATGATACTCTCTGTTTCAACAAGCACGGTATTCAGTTCATCGTAGTCGAGTGATGTTCTACCCACTGTTTTCTTGAGGCATTTTTTCACACTTTGAATCAGCCTTTCCCAGAATCCCCCCACCAGGGGGCGCGTTCCACAAAGTTATTTGAAACGTAGCGCTGAACTTCACTTCCTTAGAACCAGCCTTAAACGTTTTTGCATTATCAGACAACAGAGTTGAGGGTAGACCTCGTCTACTTGCAAATCGACGAAACGATTGAAGGAAAGACTTGACACTCAGATAACATAACAACTCTAAATGGATAGCACGTGTTGATGCACATGTGTATAAACAGATGTAAGGTTTTTGAGAAACTTCGTTTGCCTGTCCTTCCTTTGAACTTGTGATATAAAGGGGCCCAGCGAAATCCAAGCAAGTAAATGTCAACGGAGGGGCATCAACCACGCCCATGTCAGGT